GCGGTCGGTCGGGCGCGCAGCAGAGGCGCCCGGCGGCTCCGCCAACCTGCCACTGCGGCAGCCGCGGCACGTCGACTGGGGCGGGGGCGAGGGGGGCGAGCGAGGGAGGGAGGGACCCCGGAAAGCCAGCCCCCGCCCGGCCAAACCCTCCGGCTCCCGAGGGAGCCCCCACCCCCACTTTCCGCGCCAGCGGCTTCTGGAAGATAGACCCCCCACCCACCCGCGCCTCCCCCGAATCTGAATAGAAGAAAAAGGAAGCGGGTGGGTAGTCACCTCGGGGCTTCTGCGAGGAAAGAGCCCCCTAAGGCGGCCGTCCTCTGCCCTCCCTTGGATGGAAGTGCATCATCCCTTTCTGCAGCTCCCCTCTCCCCCCACCCCCCAGCTCTCGTCAGCCCACCGACCCAAAAGCAGGTGACCTGGTTTTAGGCGAGGAGGAGATGCTTCGGCTGGTTGGGGTTGCAGCCCAACTGAAGGAAGGAAGGAGGGATCTAGAGGGAGGAGATAGGAAGGAGGGATGAATAGACTGGCTGTGGAGGAAGAAGAGGGAGAGGATCCAGTAAAGCCAAGGGAGATGGCAAGCAGGTGGACAGCTCACCAGTCGGTGGGAGGGGGCGGTGGGGGGGGGAGATTATTTCTTGACATATCAGGCAGAAGAGCCGGGCAATTTGCGCACTTGTGCAGCTGGGAGCCAAGTGGAAAACGTAGGTCTCCTTCTTTTCCCGTGAGAAGGGACAGTGAACCCCCTTGAGGCTCTAAGCCCCCCCCCCCTGCTAAGAGGGAAAGGAGGCTTCCCTGCAGTGATAATATGCTGGGCAGGAGCGTCCTTGTCCCTGGTGGGCAGTACAGACCGGGCAGTGGTCCGAGTGTCTCTCCTGCAGACTGTGCAATGGGGCTTTCCTGATGCTGACCCCTTCAAGAGGCGCTGCGTAATTCCCCAAAACAGCAGAGCTATTCCTGGGCTGGCTGCTTGGGAGCCAGCCCAGGAATAGCTGTCAGACGCTCCTTCCTTCGTGCCTCTGAACGGGATGCCCTCTTGCTTCTGGTGGCAACAAATGCTGGATCCTTATTTATTCTCCCTTAAGACTTCCCGCATTTCCTCTTAAAAGCTTTTATTGCCACCAGCAAATTAAAGGTTTTGTGGAGAAGCAGAGAGGCAGGCAGGCAGGCAGGCATTCCTCCGCATAGAAAATGGCAAATGCTGCTAAAGTGATNATCAGGATTTTAGAGATGCTTAGGTGGGACATGGCCAATAAAAAGTTTGGGAACCATTGGTCTAGTCTGATGAAAAGAAGGATCAGGGGAGACAGGATAGCAGTGTTCCAATATCTCAGGGGCTGCCCCAAAGAAGAGGGAGTCAAACTATTCTCCAAGGCACCTGAGGACAGAACAAGAAGCAATAGGATGGAAACTAATCAAGGAGAGAAGCAACTTAGAACTAAGGAGAAACTTCCTGACAGTTAGAAGGATTAGCCAGTGGAACAACTTGCCTCCAGAGATTGTGAATGATCCATCACTGGAAGTATTTAAGAAGATGTTGGATATCCATTTGTCTGAAGTGGTGTAGGGTTTCCTGCCTGAGCCAGGGGGTTGGACTAGAAGATCTCCACGGTCCCTTCCAACTCAGTTATTCCATTCCATTCTATTCTATTCTATTTGTCCCTTTGCTGCTGTGTTTAGTGGTGAGGCGAGGAACTTCATTTCACCAGAATTGCTCCTTCGAGCCTTTCTAGATATCTAGCTTGTCATATCCTTGGTGGAGTCCACCTGTCTTTCTGCTTCACGGCCTTGAGTTGGATCCTGGCTCCACTCTGCTAAGTCTCTTCTGGGCTCTCTGGAAGGGCCTTTCCTGGCCCACTGAATGGATTTCTTGATGGGTTACAAGCTAGCTCAGGGCTCGTGAAAGTAAAGTGAAAAAGACGAGATGCAGTGTGGATTCTGGGAGGCTGGTTGGGACACCCTGAAATTCAAGGCAGGCAAGCAGGCAGTTGACCATCCGGTTAATCTTTTCTCTTCTGGTGTTTTTGGGCTGTGGGGGGGAGCTTCCAAGAATTGCACCCAATTGGCTCCCCCCTCTTTCCCCATTGCCTGCCTCTTCCTTGGCTCTTGCGCAGAAAGGAGAATAAACAGCAAATGGGGAGGGGGAGGGGGAGCAAGTGTGCTTGTGGGGAGAGTTGCCCGAGGATGGTTATCCGGATTTAGGTCCCCCTCGTTCTCTCTTGGGAGGAGGCTTATTGGCCTCGAGGGCACATTTCTTGTGCCCTTAATTTTTAATCCAGTGTTGAGTTTCTAGACTCCATTTCCTAAAAGAGGAAACCGTTCACCTGTAAACCTGCAAGGGGTGTGCGCTGTGCAGGTGTGGTTTTGTGAGAAAGATCGTGTTTGTGCCCACAGAAGTCCAGCTGCGTTGTGCGAGTTATGCCCACCGGGGTTTAAGAACGCAGGGTTCTTAAGCCTTTTTGGTTGGGGTGGGGTGGGGGGGCAGTGCTTGCTCCCGAGTGATGCCACACAGCAACCGGGGGGGGGGTGGCAGGCAAAGCGGTTCTCCCTTCCCATTCGACGGTTTCCCTGCCATTTCAGTCCCCTCAGCCTTCCAAGAGCCGCCCCCAAATGCACGCACGTTCTCGTGCCCGTGTCCGCCTTGGCGCATTAAGTGAGATTCTCTCCCCCTCCCCACCAGTTTCCCCCTATTATGCTCACACAGCTCTCTCTGGGGTGGGGCAGAGGAGGAGGGAAGGGGGCTTTGGGATGCTTTCTGGAAAGGGTCCCGGCTTTGCCACCCGCTCCTTGGCTCCTAAGGCTCCGAGGCGTTTCTCTGCCCGCCTGGGGAACATGAGGGAGGGGCGGATTCCTGCGGGGAGCGGTGCGGGGGGGAGAGAAAGGGGCAGGCGGGAGGCGGGAGGGTGGTCCCAGCCCTGGGAGTGGGACTGGACCCGCGCCTACCTGGCTGGAGATGAGGTCCTCGCAGACGGAGAGAGCCATCTGGATGGCGTTGGGCTTGTGGGTGACGGAGGTGGCGTTCAGCTGGATCTTCCAGATGCCGTGCCGCTTGTTGGCCTGGCTGATGGCGTCGCGGAAGACCTGCTCGTGCTTCTTGGTGCTCAGCACGGCGCCGATGTTGATGATCTTGGGCTCGCAGCCCGCGCGGGCCACCGAGAACCAAACCAGCACGGCCAGCAGCAGCAGCCGCATGGCGCCCCGCGCCCCGGGCGAGCCGCTCTCCGCGGTGCTGAATTCCCCCCTGCGGTCGGTCGGGCGCGCAGCAGAGGCGCCCGGCGGCTCCGCCAACCTGCCACTGCGGCAGCCGCGGCACGTCGACTGGGGCGGGGGCGAGGGGGGCGAGCGAGGGAGGGAGGGACCCCGGAAAGCCAGCCCCCGCCCGGCCAAACCCTCNGCTGACAACCTGTAGCACCTAAAACTTTGTTTCTGCTGGCCTAGCACTTGACCAATGTAATTCTCATCAACCACGCTAACTAAACAGCTTTCTGAAAGGGGGGGGTTTCCACTCTGCAAACCTCCCCCAAATGCCCCGTTTTTTGCGAAAAAGGACTTTTTTTTCCAAAAAAGGCATGAATAGCCGGGGGGGGGGGCTTGCAGAGTGCTGTTGGGGGAGGAGGGTCAAAAACGAGCAAAAAACGGCCAATTTTTGCGAAATGGGATTTTTTTGTCAAAAAAATTGCATGCATAGCCTTATGGAGACTTATAGAGTGCTGCTGGGGGCTGGAGGGGGGCAAAAATGGCCTGTTTCTTGCTCATTTCTGCCCTCCCCCAGCCCCTAGGAAATCTCTGAAAGCCTCCATAAGGGTATGCACGGCCATTTTGGTGAAGACGGCGGGGCTTCAGGAGGCAAAACATGTTGTATTTGTTGTATAAGACGCACCCAGATCTTCAGACTCTTTTTAGAGGAAAAGAGGTGCATCTTATACTCCGAAAAATATGGTAAATATATATCCTTCTTGATCCTGCAGTTTAAAAAAGCTGCTTGCCATACAAAGACAGAAATAGGGCAAATATAAAATATAAACCAATACATGTCAAGTATTGCAGTGGAAAAATAGCATCTCCTACCTCAATTTTAATGTAATTTGTCATTACTTATTGCATCCTAGTTCTCTTATAACAAGATATTAACAACTTACAAAAAAGTTTTCCAGCTGGAATTCATAAGTGTATGGCATCATAGAAAAGGAGTGATCCTCCGATAATGCAGAACAAAAGTTCATTGAAAATATGCACTGCAATGATGGGGGAAGCTCTTTTGTCCACTTCAGTTCCCAGACAAAAAATATTGCTTGCTTACTGTAGATGTTCTAAGAAAGAATTTTTAATTAATATTACATTAGAATTGTGTTGGATAGTAATGGGTAAAACTGAAATGTTTTCTAAATAAATAAAGCAATTATGAGTTCATATATATATATTCAGAACCAATGGCTTACCTTAGAAACAGTTAATGTTGGTCAGTTAGTGAAGAGATGTATTCTGACAGTAGATTACCTCACCTGGTAGTTTCATATAGATGTTAAATAAGAGCGGGGAAAGATTAGAACACTGAGAGACCGCTTGTCTAGGACAAGACTTCTCCCTCTCAACAGCACTAATTGAAGCTGACCCAAGAAGCGGAAACCAAACCATTACAATACTGTGCTGCTCCCACTTCCTAACCCTCTCCCCTGCCAAACTAGTCCAAAAGGATGTCATGATTGATGGTATGGAAAGCCACTGAAAGGTCAAGGAGGTTTGGACTGATTGCATTACCTCTCTTGTCCAGCCAACCATCATCAACAAAATCAAAACCATCTCAGTACTATATCCATGTCTGAAGTCCAACTGAAAGCAGATAATCTGCTTCCTCCAGAGCACTTTCTCAACAACCTTCCCTACTGCCCAACACTACTGCAATCCAGCAATGGCTTCTTAAGAAGATGGGGCACTGCCTCTCTAAGAGTTAGAGAGATGGTATGAAAACACCATCAACTGAATCCAATTACAAATTTCATGGAAGGCCTTAACCAAGCGAAACATAGATCTAGCGCACAGGTGGCCATAGTCATCGCTTAAGTACCCTATCCACTTTCTCAGAACCAACAGGCACAAACTCTTCCCAATTACTACAATAACTTCCTTTTTATCATAAATATTCTGCAGAAATATATTCAAATGATTTGCATGCTCCTTAACTATTAATATATTCTATATTCTAACACAATCTACACAATAGTCTTGCTGCAGCTAATGAAGCAAAAGCAAACTACCTTCTTAAACTTTCAATCTCTTTCTATTATTAGCTATCTAAACTCATGTTTCTTTACTTTTTCTGAAGTTGGCTGGCCATTTCTATCTCTATGTATGGATCTATTCTTTTTTGCAAGCTCTTAGGCAAAACTTTGCTAGTAATTAAGAATTAATGCAAATGTTTACAAATTTTTTAGTATAAATTTTGTATGCCAATCTTTCAGTGTCTCTAGGGCAGACAATTTTGTTCTTTATTTGTTGAAAAAATGCAATTAGCATTAGCCTTTTAATTTCATTTTGTCTTACATGTTTAAGAAGTTCAATGGACTGAAAATAAATGTATTCTAACAGAGAACTGCAATTCAAATTATGAGAAACAGATTTTCAACAATTACCAGTCAAATAAAAGAACCTGTCCATAATACTTTCTCAAAACCTTCTCTATTGCTGCTTTTCAGCTGCCTCTCGAATAATTGCAATAGCATTTACAGTAAAATTATTGAAAAAACAGCAGTTCAATCTGAAACTAATCTCCCCATAAAGATGCTTTAGATGAGACAAGAGACTCTTGAGGTTCCATTTGTTCTGCCCAAATACTTTTCAGACATTACGATAAAATCATAGCTTTCATAATCATTTTGAAAATAAATACTTAATTTTTTGAAGCCACACATATAAAGATATTGATAACTTTTAAGATGCATAACAAAATTAGTGAAATTGAGTTGTAGTGCAAATCTATGTTTTTTTGTTATTACAAAAAATATATGTAAAATAATTACCTGTTCAGCTTTAGGATTTAGAGGTTGAAGACTTAAATCTATGTAAATGTCAGAACATTTGAGATTATTGTCATAGAATTGAAAACAGATTTCTGACATGTTCTGCACACATATTTGTATATATTTCCTAAAATAAGAAAAAATAAACTAAATTAAAAATAAGAAACTATTATAAAGAGTTACTGCTATATACAATTTAACTTTGTGTGCATGCATGCATGTATATCCTTGCAGCAGAATTAACCAAATGAAAACAATAGTTTAAAAAAATGAGAAAAACATGCTAATTTACATTAGATTGTACCCTAAACCTAAATTTAAATGATGTTTTAAGCAAAGGTCTCATTTGAATGGTAAAAAAATCCCACCACACAATTGACAGTACAATTCTATTCATATCTACTTAGAAGAGTCAAACGGAATTCAACTCAGCTTTCTCCTAAGGAAAGTTGTAGGTTTGGGGTTGCAGCTTAAAACATAAAAGGACTCAAATGTAGCCTTGGGATTAAAACGTATTTTCAAACCTTCCTGCTCATTCAAACTACTTAAATCATAGTTTTGATAAGAAAAGCTTTTATGATGAAATAGAAAACGAGAATTTTGAATAAGTTACCTTATGCCTGCTGATAATAACGAATGTTTGGCTTTAAAAGGTACACTGAAGGTAAGTGAAATAATAGTGGAGTAAATTGACCATGGACAATCAATGGTTACCTATATGAAATATATAATAAAATCATCTGATATATTGCTTAAAATTTCTATTTAAATAAAAATAGTTGTTACATTTTTCAATTTTGAGCATGGAAGAATAAGTGAAGAGCACAGCATAGTATAGCATGGCATAGCACATCCAATCCAATTCATACCCTTGGATTTATTTATTACAGATTTATTGTCTTGCAATTCTTTCATCTCTTCATCAAATGCACAAAACAACTGTTTAAAGCAAGCTAGTTGGAATATCAAGCTTAAAAATGTATTGAAACTCTCTCAGGAATTGATGTTTATATAGTTAACAAAAATAATGCAAAACAATACAGAAACATTGTAAGATGAGCAAAAGATTTCCAGGATCAAAAAAAGCAGTACAGCAGACTATTAATATAGATGTATTTGCCAGTTTGAAATACAATATTGACATCTGAATTTTTTAGTTAATTTAAATATTAACCTTTATTCATAATTTCTTACCTTTTGATCAATTGTAGTCATGCTATTGTAAGACATTTCTTTCTCTTTGCCTTTTTTCCTACACTCTTTACTTGATAGATTCTCATTTTCCATCATACATATTGGGACTGATGGCGAATATAAAACTTCAAGTTCAAAGGTAATCACATGATATGCAGGAATCATTGGTAAACTGATACTTGTGATTTTTTCAGATGACTGAACAGCTAATGATGCTTCTGATACCTTTTCTACAATTGTATGAAATAGAAATTAGGGACTATAATTTATATCAGAATTAACAAATTATTCAGCTTGTAACATATAAGCAAACCCTGTTTTAACCTCCAAGTAATGTTTTGAATGTTCCAAGCATGAAGTAAAGCATGTGTTTCACAATTTTATTTTATTTATTCTTTTATTTATTCTGAGCATTGCAACTGTTTCCAGGGGGAAAGGAGACAGAAGGAGATAAGTGTTTTCCAACCTAGCCAGCACCACATTAGTGCTCAGCCATGCCGCAAATTCTATTGCTTTAGATTGGATGGGCTGAAGTGGGAGTTAAGTACTCAAAATAAAATAGGATTTAAATTCCTTGTTAGTCAGAAAAATAGCTGAGCAAAGTTTTTCTAAATTATTGTTATGAGAAAATTAAGGTTACCTATGTAGGATAGGCTGCATGTGTGTTGTATTATTTTGAAGGTACATAATCCAAACTTTTTAATAACAGTTGCTTGGTTGCTATGATTTGATATAAATTATTGTTATATTTGGTATAAATTAGTTTTGTATTAATATATTTTGTATTAATATATTTTTAGATACATACATGCATAATGTTTATATGCATGTGTATGTACCCAAAATTATATTAATCCAAAATTATTTCTTAAATGTTTTATGGTTGTGCATTCTATGCATGTTCTTATGCCTTGCAGAAGTTGACTTTCAAGTTAAACTGAGGAGGCTTGTTTTGTTTTCCTATGAAAAACTCTAGTTGCCTGCTAAATCAGGAAATCTACTTCAGAGATATGTTGGCACTAAGATGGAGAATTCATTGTGAAAACACATCCTCATCAATTGGCAACAGCAACAGATGTGTGGATGAGTTCTAGTCTTAATGTTG